TGGCATTCCCAACACCGTATAATCGCAAAGCATGCGATTACTGATTGGCAGAATGGGTTATTTTTGTATCCGGAATTCGAAAGGCGGAAGCAAAAGCACCAATTATAACTGAATAGTACGAAATTTTATGATTCTCACAATATAGTGACCCGAGTAAGCCACACACATGGCTCCGCCCTAAACGCCCGTTCCCTTTTGTGTGTGTGCCCGTGTGTGTGTGTGTGTGTGTGTGTGTGTGTGTGTTGCATTCCATCACGTGTCATCGCTTGATGCATCCGTCAGCCGCTTGTGCAGCTCTGACAGATACTGATGCAAACAAAGTCAGATTCATGTGTGGGTGAGAATGTGTGTGCGTGTGACGGCAATAGAAGACCTGGCAACAGCAAAGTGTGTGTGTGTGTGTGTGTGTGTGTGTGTGTGTGTGTGTGTGTGTGTGTGTGTTGCATTCCATCACGTGTCATCGCTTGATGCATCCGTCAGCCGCTTGTGCAGCTCTGACAGATACTGATGCAAACAAAGTCAGATTCATGTGTGTGTGAGAATGTGTATGCGTGTGACGGGAATAGAAGACCTGGCAACAGCAAAGTGTGTGCGAGCGCGCACGCCAACACGGTAAACGCTGCAACACAACACCATCACCTCCAAAGCAGCCCCTACCCACCACCACCACTCTAACCACTACTCCAACCATCATCACCACCAACCTCTGTGGTACGCGTGTGCCCGTCCAGGCGCGCCATCTCCATGGGCGTGTTGCCGTCGCCGTCAGCGCCAAGATGAGCCAGCCCAAGACCAGCCTGCACAGCGGTTAGTTGCAGTGGTGACATGGACGTGAGTCGAGTCAGCAATTACGCTTGGGGTTGGGGTTGGCTGATCACTCAGAGGCAAGGAGCATGGATACATGCATGTGTGCATGCACGTACATGCACAAATATCAGAGAGAGAGAAAGAGAGAGCGCGCAAGCGCGCACACACACACACACAGAGATCACACACACGCACACACAACACAGATCACACACACACAACACAGATCACACACACACAACACAGATCACACACACACACACAACACAGATCACACACACACACACACACACACACACACAAAGATCACACACAGATCACACACAGATCCTCCACCTTCTCACTCCAACACCTCCCCATCTCCGCCATTCCCGTTGACCACAACGCACCTCGTCGTGCAGCCATCTGCAGACGTCCTCGTGACCGTAGATGGCCGCCTTGTGGAACGCGCTGTGGCCGTTGTTGTTGAGCAGGTGGAAGTCGACACCGTGACTGCGCAGCCATTCACACATGCGCACGTGTCCACCTTGCGCCGCCCACTGCACCGCGTTGCACCCAAACGCGTTGAGAGCGTGCACATCGGCCCCGTTGTCCACCAGAAAATCGCACACGGACACATGGTTTTGCCACACGGCCCAGTGCAGTGGCGGCGTGCCGTCCGTTGTTCTCGAATTCACATCCACCCCTCGATCAACAAGAAACGCACAGACCTGTGTGCGTGCGTGCGTGTGTGTGCGTGCGTGTGTGTGCGTGTGTGTGTGTGTGTGTGTGGGGGGGGGGGGTTAGACGATGGAAAGTGACGATGGAAAGTGAGGGAGGAGCAAAGCAATCGAGCAATGAATGCAATGGCATGGTTCGAAACCAAACGAACAACACACTCACATCAGCCTTCTATAATGCGTCCCCCCCCCCCAACACACACACACACACACACACACCCCTCATTTCCCCTCCGCAAAAACACCTCCCATCCCCTCTCCCTCCCTCCTACACGCACGTCCATGTGCCCGTTGCGTGCTGCCCAGTGCAGGGCGTTGCGGCCGCTCGCTGGCTGCGCGTGTGCCACATCACCACCTGCAACATCAACAAACCAGCGGCATATGTGCAGATGGCCGCCACCAGCCGCCCAGTGCAGCACCGTAGACCCGTGCCGGTCGCCTGTGCCAATTTGGAGTTGTTGAGTGATGGTGGTGGCGAGATGGTGTGAGTGCTGTCCGTTCGTTGACTGGCTTTTGGATGGTAATTTACCGCAACGGTAAAACCCAAGGGTACATGTACGGGCGAGGGTATGCTGGACAATACGCGGGAGCGCACACAGGAGTGGACACAGGAGTGAACACAGGCAAGCATTCACTCACAACACACACAGTCACTCACTCAAAAATACTCACTAAAAAATACTTAATCTCACTTCAAAACACACGCACACTCACACACGCACTCACTCACAACACTACACAACACTACACAACACAACACAACACAACACAACACAACACAACACAACACAACACAACACAACACAACACAACACAACACAACACAACACAACACAACACAGCACAACACAAAACACATGCTCACGTTGGTGGACGTCAGCGCCAGCTTCATACATGCGCTTGAGCGCGCCCAGATCGCCATCCTTTGCCGCCTGTTGAATGATCAAAGATAACAGGATTAAGGGCGTGCGGTCACGACAAACGCCGCATTGCAGTTCATGCCACACACACACACACACACACACACACACACACACACACACACACACACACACACACACGCATACACACGAGAACACACACACGCATACACACGAGAACACACACACACACACGAGAACACACACACGCATACACACGAGAACACACACACACACACACACACACACACGCACAATCGCAAAAGTCCCACGGCATCAACCAACCTGCAGCGGTGGGAGAAGCTTCTTTGCTTGCTCGCGCTGCTGCTGCGCATCCTTCCGCCACTGCTCCACAAGCACGTGCATGGCGCTGTTGCTCTGAAACGGAACAATTGGCGCGTTGGACAATGTCGCAGATTCCTGCATCACACAGCAGAGGGCGGCGGTTTGCACATGCGATGAAAGACCCCCCCCACACACACACACGCACGCACACGCACACATTTCGTGAGGGCACGCGCTGTGAGTGCATGAGGTAAAGTGAATGCGTAGTGGTGTTTGTGGCGCATGTCTGCCGAGAAACAGGACCACGATCCCACTCATGCTAACACTCATGCCAACACCCACACCCACATGTATCCCACCCATGCCCCCACCCATGCCCACATTTAAAGCTTGCGTACCTTCGAGTGTTCGTAGGTGTGCTTGTGAAAGCACTGCTGATGATCACGCAAACCGCGTAAGCCAGCGCAAAAGTGACCACAGTCCCGGCAGAGAAGCATGTCGTGCGCGTGCTGCTTGGCAACGTGCATGTGCGTGGAGATGTCAATGTCGTGCTTACTGTTCACGCCCACAAATGCCAACACGGCTTGCCCGCGCGCCTCCAGCTCGGCGGCAATGGCACGCGCAAACGCTCCAGCATCGCTGTAGCGCGCATGCTTCTCACGCCCAAAGTCCGTGATGGTGACCAGCTGTAGTGGACCTCGTACTCGCCCACGAGCCGGCCGCCCAAGTGCCAGGGTCAAGTCCCTCCCACCGGTTTCTGTCCCTGGGCTGCCCTGCATTGTAACGTCCGTGGCCGTGGTGCTGCCGCCGCCGCTGCTGCTGCCAGTGCGCTTGGCGCGTTTGCTGTCGTCCTCAGCTGCAAGGGCTGTGGTCGTCGTGCTTGCTGTTGAAGACGAGGGTGCTTTGCCAGCACCGTCACTCACACCACCATCGCGGCGCCGCGAGGGTGGTAGTGGTGGTGGTGGTGGTAGTGGTGGTGGCGTGGCAAGAAGGGCGACCAAGCGAGCAAACAAGGCTGAGGGGAGCCGCGAGGAAAACTGCGGTGCGCGGCTCTTGTTGCCCGCACGCAGCACGCTCGACGACTTCCCTAGCAGCTGCGCGATGGATGGGTCGCACGCCATCGCCCGTTCCCCACATACCGCCCTCACGCTCTCCACCAACAACGCACGCACGTCCTCCACACTCATGCTGTAGTTTGAGCTGTGTCCGCTGCCTTTTTGATTCTTGAACATTGATGAACATTTTCATATGATTTTCGGCAATCGGGCGCGCCAACAACGAACAACAACACAACGATGCTGACGCCACGAGCAACGAAGCAAAGCACCAGCCATCCCACCAGCACACGTCATCAGCACGACACAAGATGCCATGCATGATGATAGCACGACACAATTCACTGCCTGCATTGCTTAGGCTTCACAAAGACAGGCAAGGGGCCGGAGGCATGCAGGCCTTATGCAGCGAAGCTTAGCGAAGCCACTAGCATGTCTGGCATCACGCTTTGGGCAGAAGCAAGGTGAGAATAGCACCGTAACCTTCGTTGTTTGTTGCTTCGACTGCTGCTGCTTCTGCTCCTGCTTCTGATTCGTTTTCTCCTGCGCCTACATCGTCTTCTTGTGCATCAACATCGCCTTCTTTTGCGCCTGCGTCTACTCCTTCCACCCCTGCTTCAGTGCCACTGCACGATTGCTTTTGCGTTCGTTGCTTCGCTCATACACCACGCCCGACTCGCGCACGCAACTCACCCCGCACACAGGAAACGGCACGCGCTGAGCGAGCGTGCCAACGCAAGGCCTTCTCCCGTGCTTTCTTTATTCATTGCGTACTCCACTACTTGCACGTCTTCAGCATGGCGGGTCGGCTCATTTTGTTGAGGCATTTCCTCTGCTTCCATATCAGCTTCAACCACCGCCACAACCCCCCCCCCCCCCAAAGACAGCTGCACGCCTTCTCGCCTCCCCTCGGCTGTAATCAGCTCCGTTTCTCCTGAAACGCTCCAAGATGACGATGACATCTGCTTCCGTCCTGTGTGGTGCTGGGTATGCACTGCTCGCCACCACCCTGCTGCTCCTTGCAACCAACCAGGCTGGCCCGGCCCAAGCTGTAAGTCTGGTTTTGTGCGTGTGTGTGTGCGTGTGCGTGCGTGTGCGTTCGTGTGTGTGTGCGCGTGTGTGTGTGCGCGTGTGCGTGCGTGCGTGTGTGTGCGTGTGCGTGCGCGTGTGCGTTCGTATGTGTGTGCGTGTGTGTGTGTTTGTGTGTGCGTGTGCGCGTACGTTTGTGTGTGTGTGTGTGTTTGGTGTGTGTGTGTGTGTGTGTGTGTGTGTGTGTGTGTGTGTGTGTGTGTGTG